TTTCATTTTGCTTAAATAGCAATCAAAGCCTCGGATTCACAGGCAAAGGTATTGGAGAGTAGGTTTACACAGTGGGTGCGTTTAGTGCCATTTAGTACCTTAATGTGTTTTATGAATACGTTTGCCTGTGGCCACTTTCAAAGACTGCTGGAGACCTTGATCATTGAGCGTGAAGGTAAAACGCTCTGAGTAACTGAATACAGGCAATCTGGAGGCTCTGTGCTGTTCTGTTGCAAACAATGGCACAAGGCAATCTGGTGTTCTTTGAGCAGAAAATTGAGATTTTTTTTGTGTCGCTTAAAACAAAATTCTTTGTTGTAAGCAGTTTAGGGATCACAGACAATTTGCCATATGCCTGCTTTTTTTTCGATTGAATGGCTACCGCAGTGCCTAACCGATTTGACTGAATAACCTTCATCATTTCAAGGTATCTCGCTCTTTCAATCAATTTAGCTACTAAATGATGATAGAAGGACTGAAAATTGCATTATTGCTCTCAAATGTGGTGTTTACGTTTAGAATATATGTAAAATGGCACATCACAACTTGTTTATTTGAGTTTACCTTTTCTTTTAGAAAACAAAACATGGAGTTTTAATGCAATTTAAACAATTTTGTATGATTTATGAAGATAAATTTAAGACTTTTTAAAGACATTTTCAATAAAAGAATTTCTCTTAAATAATGCTTTTTTTTTTTCCTTAATCAAGACTTCATTCAGCTTTGTTGATATGTGTGCCATATTTTACAAATACAAGTATTGGAAGAGTTTTTCTGTAAGAAAAAGAAAAATCCTTGTTTAAAGCCTTTCTTTTGTACTTGATTTATAAAAGTTTTTCACTATTTCAAGGCTTATTCCTCCATTCTGGAATGAGCTAGAGTGATGATATTACTACATATTCTTATTTAGACCCAAGGTGCGAATTACAGGGTTGGGGGGAATTTACCCCTTAATTAATGCTTGTTCCCCACAGAAAAACATCAAAAAAAGATGGGGGTCAGTCCTTTAAAGGGTCACGAAACACCAAAACACATTTTTTGAGCTGTTGACAGTCGTATATGCGTCCCACACTGCTAAAAGCACTATTAGGACACATATATTTTAAATAGCTTTCTCTGATCTTTGATTTATATCTTAAATATTAATAATTAAAAATGTGTAATATAAATATACATTTGACCCCCATAGGGCGATTTAGTGGCATAGTAGATAGTGCTGTCGCCTCACAGCATGAAGTTTGCTGGTTCTTGTCTCGACTGAGTCAGTTGGTATTTTTGTGGAGTTTGCATGTTCTTCTCGCGTTCGCACGGTTTTCCACCGGCTGCTCGGTTTCCGCCACAAGTCCAAAGACATGCGGTACAGGGGAATTGGGTATAATTGTCCATTGTCCAAAATTGTCCATAGTGTACTTGTGTTAATGAAAGTTTATGGGTGTTCCTCAGTGATGGGTTGCGGCTGTAAGGGCATCCGCTGCGTAAAACATATGCTGGATAAGTTTGCGGTTCATTGCGCTGTGGCGACCCCAGATTAATAATGCGACTAAGCTGAAAATAAAATGAATAAAAAAATAAATTGACCCCTATAATGGTTCATATTATTGTGAATGCATACTCATGCCAATCAATGCTAGTAAACCTATAATTCAGCAGTCTTAAACTAGCAGTTCAAGAACACTGAAAGACATCCTAGGTAGTCAATACATGTTTCTTGTAAAATGGTGTTTATATCTGCATGTAGCCTAAAAAAGAAAAATTAGACATAGAATTTGTGTAGTTTGACCGACATTAACCACCAAAATAGTCTCTAAAAATCCCTCAAAACACTTAAAACATATACATTGTATTAATAAATGATATGTAACAAATACATTCATAAATTTCTTACACTGAAGCATGTATTAACAACCTACTACCCAAAAAATTGACCCCATCAATTGTCAATGTGTAATTTGCACCCTGGTTAGACCCCCGCAATCTGAAAGAAATCAGTCATATGTGAGCATTGATTAAGAATAAAACAAATTTTGAGGTAAACAAGTATTTTTTTTTTCCAATGTTTAGATTATTTCTCATGTCTAATCTGATTTTGTGAAACTTTATTCATTCATATCAGTCGTATCAAAAGTACTGTTTTCTTAGCTTTAAATTGGTATAGCAAATCAAGTTTTAAAGGCACCTATTTTACCTCTTTTACAAGATGTAAGATAAGCCTTTGGTGTCTCCAGAATGTGTATAAAAAGTTTTAGCTCAAAATACCCATCAAATCATTTATTATAGTCTCTAGAATACGTCCAGTTTGGTGTCTGTGGCTTTAAATGCAAATGAGCATCTCCCCGCCCTGCTTCTACTGCATTATCAGATAAACAGCAGTCAGTGATAGATATAGACCAGGATGAAGCTGAAATACAGCTCATTAGTCAAAAATACCAAGTAAGTTTATTTCATGTATTTGTGGAGTTTTTTCAAGCCTTTCTGACATGATGAGTCTCACACAAATGCACTTTGCAGTACACACACTGTAACATATGAGCTGCAGCTGAAGAAAGGGAGTCACCTTTCCTCATACCATATTTTAATCTACCTTGAATTTTATGTCAATTGGTGTCAGAGAGTGTGGAGCCAAAGGTCACTGTGCATGACACCAGGGTTACCCTGAGATGCTTATTGCACGCTGGGGGCTCATTACCACTGTTTAACCTATATTGCAGATAGGGAAATGGAGTAAGTTCCCTCCTTCTAGCTTTTGCAAACCCAATCACATTCCAAAGCCACCTCCAGATTCGAAGAAAAGAACCATTAGGACTTAAAACTCCAAATGATATGTAATGTGTGTTGACAATCTATGTACTCTGCCCTATGGCGAAAGTATAGTTAAAACAGTATATGCATGCTTTTATAAAGTCCTTTTTGAGGTGTATACAGTATAGAAATACCTAGATGCTAGGTTATGTGTGTTTAGTGTCAGGTTTACTACCATTTTGTATCTCCTGCTATTTTACAAAACATGATGCTGAGTGCATGATAATAACTTGTACAGTATGCATTATTTAATGCTCATAGTTAAGGTCAATCTTTGTGTTGAGGGAGGTCCCTCATTATGCATAGGAGTGGTTCAGAGACAGAAAATCTCCTGCTCAAACTTTGACAGGAAACCATTGGTCAGTCAGTAGTAAATGGGTGTGACTTGACCAACAGTTAAAACCATACTATGCCTAAAGCTCTGGGCAGAAAGGTCCGAAAGACCCCCTTGAGGGGGCAAACTGCATTTCTGCATTAAGGATTAAAAAAAAAATTAAATTGCTAAATATTTTTCTGTGAGGGTTTATTTTAGGAGTAGGGTTGAAGTAATGGAACACAAAACAAACTGAATTTGCAGCATCATTTTTCCTGTTGGTGTTAAATGATCCTTAAAAATGAATATTTCCTCGTCATTTACTCACTCTTAAGTAGTCCGAGAGTTTCTTTCTTCTGTTGAACTTAAAACAAGATATTCTGAACAATGTTGAGAAAAAAAGCAGCCATTGACATCCATAGCAGGGGGGTACTATAGAAGGGCTGCTTATTTAACTTCAGTATCTTCTGTTTTATCATCTGAGGAAAAAAAAAAAAAATGCGGTTCATACTTGAACTATCTTGATTAGAAATCCTTACAACATGCTAATTTCCTTAATTTTCCTTGGTAAGTCCCTTTTTAGTCTGGCTCCTTTATTTATTAGCGGTCGCCACAGCGGAATGAACCACCAACTTATCTAGCATGTTTTACGCAGAGGATGTCCTTCCAGCTGCAACCCAGTAATGACGAACACCCACATACTCTCACATTCACACTCATACAATTTCATTCATTTTCTTTTTAGCTTAGTACCTTTATCAATCAGGGGTTGCCACAGTGGAATGAACCGCCAACCTGTATAGCATATGTTTTACACAGCGACTGCACTTTTAGCTGCAACCCAACACTGGGAAAAACCCCATGTCCCCATCAATTCACCTCTAGCGCATGTCTTTAGACTGTGAGGGCCTTCTTGCTGTAAGGTGACAGTGCCAATGTTATAAAAATAATTTCTTCTTTTATCTTATAATCTAATAATATTGTAGTGCTGCTTAATATGTTTGTGTGAAAAAATGAAACAAAAATAAAACAAACAATTCAAGACAACAATATTGTGAGAAAATGACAAATGCTTCAGAATAGTCTTTTCAACGCGATTGTTGTAGTAGGCAGGTTTGGATGATTATCAATATTCATTCATTCATTTCTTTGAGACTTAGTCCCTTTATTAATCATGGGTCGCCTCACCCATACACTCAAAATTACACATATACTGATTTATCAATATGAACTTGCAAGTTTTCGCTTAATTAAAAGGTAACCGAATAAGAAAAACTCCTCTTTTACTGTAAATATTAAGATTCTATTTCTCTTATAAACTACCTGACCAAAAATGATTTGAACTGAGCAACCCTGGTTTGAAGTGAAGACTAATGATATTTCATCTTCACAAACATAAAAAGTGATAAACTGTAAAAATGAAAATAACTCAAAACATTTGCTTACAAACAGCTGCCAAATATATATTTGTTGATGAAAGACTGCACCATAATGTTTTAACTGATTTAGGTTACAAGTTTAGCAACATATCTTAAAAATACAATATTTTAAAAAAATTAAACAAAAGAAAAAATCAAATAACATGCACGTCATGTTGTTGTGTATGTTATGGCAAAAGACAGAACAAAATAACAACAGCATTTCCATTGCAATGGGGAACATAAAAAACTGAATAATTTTCCACAGATCAGACATCAGTGTCTGTATATCAAAATCTTCGCCCAAAATAATAAGGGATTTCATCTCTGATTAGTGTAGATGGCACCAGAATGACCGGTAAAGTCTGGCATAGATGAGGAAAAATCCAATATATTACAATATAAGCACACTTATAACAAGTTTTCTTTTTTAAAAATGATTTTCTGATGATAGGCTATCAAACGCTCACTTGTGAAAATCACATAATATATTTCATTTACTTTACAACACTTTTTTCCAAACATCATCATTCCACGTCTTAAAGGATCCACCTATATTTCCGTTAACAAATGTGACTGAGTTTTTCCTTATAGCACTTAACTTTGTAACAAAAGCAATACTGCTTAACAAAACAAAATAAAAAGGTAGACAACGATGCTTTACACATCAGTCCGTGTCACAGCAGAGACACGTATATATAAAATTCTTCTGCATGTCTTTTGAAGAACAAAAATTATGAGTATATGTATTAGTAACAGAAGCGGTAAAACAACAGGAAAGGACACAGCTGATTTAATCTGGATCGTTAAAGACTCATGCTGCAAAAGTGAAAACCTCAATCCCTCTTTAATCATGCTGGCAGGCAGAGCCATCAGCGACTGGCGCAGTGTGGCAAAGTCTTTCAGATGACAGGAGCAGCACCCGGGGCTGTTTCCATGATAAACCCACACAAACATTCGTTCCCTGTCACTGCTGCAGTGAAAAGGTGCTCTTTATGGTTCTCCACGCTCCTTAAGTAGGGCACCGTGTTTGATAGCGAAACTGTACCCTGCGTGTCAATTTTTTTTTTCTGTCTCAGAGAAACCGACTCTCTTTCTTCTGAAGAGAAAAGCAAAATAAAAAAAGTTTACACTAACAAACTTACAATGTATTCCTGATAACTGGACTTTTTTTTTTTTTTTTTTTTTACAGAAGATGATATATAGTTTTGTTTTTTTTTAAAAAAAGGAAAAGAAATTGAAATGAGAAGAGACAGAGCTGCTGTGCAGGTGCCCGTGGGTTTGTTTAGAGTCTCTGTCTCTTGAGGCACCAGAAGAGATCCGTTCAGCAAGTTTTCGTGAGCGCACTTATTCAGATTTGTGACAGTAAAGGTCCTTAAGCGCTTTGAGCTCCTCGATGAGCGTTTTGTTCTGATTCTCCAACACAGCCACTCTGTTTTCCAGACATTTCACATACTCTTTCTTTTTTCTGCGGCACTCCCGTGCTGCCTCCCTGTGGTGGAAACACATTATTACAGTCAAACCATTTTTTTTTTAAACTGCAGATGCAACATTTAAAACCTTTGTTCTGAAATTTGGCTGGCAACAGTAATTCAAGTTACAGTTTAAGACAGGGGTCACCAAACTCAATCCTGCAGTCTGTTCTTTGTACTTCACTTAAATGATTTAAGATGATTTGACAGATCCTGGATCTTTTAAGTCTTGATAACTGATCTCTGGCTGGTTTGGTTCTTCAAACTAATTTGTGAACCAGATTAAAATGTCTGGATGAACTGATCTGAGATACCTGCTTGTGTTGTGGAAGACAGATCTATCGATCCACAAAAAAAGTCCATATTAATAAATGTTCTCATTGAACACATTGGAGAACCCTCACCAGTCTTGTACTTTTTATCCCGGAGTGCAGATTGAATAAGTTTTATTTAAATTTATTTATATAGTTTTATGTTTTTTGGAGGGGGACAACTTAATTGTTTTATGTTCAATAAACTAAAATGTGTTAAAACAAATAAGTTAACTTAATTTCTTTAAGCTGTCCCAACACAAGTTGATTGTGTGGAACGCAGCATTTTTTTTAGTGTATGACCAGCTTGAAATAAAAGCTGAAAACTATTTTTATGACCATACAACACACATTGTTATTAAACTTTACCTTTATGGTATAGAGTAAGAATATAATAATATAATAGTAAGAACAAAACTAAATATATTGTTTTGATATATATATATATATATATATATATATATAAATATATAAATATATATATATATATATATATATATATATATATGTATATATATATATATATATATATATATATATATATATATATATATAGCAATACTGTAGTGTACTGTAGTGTAAAGTTAGAATTATAAATATTAACACATTTTTATATTCACATTTTAACCATTACATTACTAATATTTATAAAATATGGATCTTACAATAATATTTATTTCCTAATATCTTGGTTTTCAAAGGTTACAGTAGCTTTATAATTGCTTTTAATTTTAAATATGAATATAAAAGATTGGCCCGTTTTCAAAACTTTTCAGGTGCTTTTCTTAGGATTATGTATTACATGCTTTAGCAGAAATATATATATATATATATATATATATATATATATATATATATATATATATATATATTTATTATACAATCAAAAATGTTTGTATAAGACCATTATTTACATCCAACATGAGCATGTGCATTTGGCAGGTACCTGTTCTTCATCAGCCGAACTTCCCGCTTACGTGTGGCCTCCTCAGCTCCCTGACTGGGCAGTGCTGGGGAAGAGGCCATGACCACCCCAGGAGCAATGGTGCTCGCAGCTGCAGTGCGGATCTGATAAGCCTGAACGTCTCCTGATGCCGCTGAAACACACAAACAGCACATTTATAGTTGGACAAGGAGACGCTCAGCATCCTGGAGACAGAGCAAGCCAAGCCTGGATTTAATTAACAACAGAATAACTAAACTAGACTAGCACACTTCTTCTAATATCTCTTTATTACCCATTTATGTATCTGTTCATCAATTCCATTATCTTGGTTTAGTTTTACTTTCATTTTATTATTATCATCATTTATTTGTTATACATATTCTTATATAACCTCATAATTTGTATCTTTGTTTCTTTTTTCTCTTTTAAATCATTACCTGTCTGATAATCATCATTTTTATACGTGTACATATTATTTTACATGTATAACAAACACACCCATACACGTTATTTATTTATATTAATGCTTTCTAAAGATGAACCACATCCTGCACATCTGTACTTACATGTGTGTACTGTAAGTATTTATAATGTATATATAAATATATGCATGCATTTACATATTTTGCAAATATCTGTATATAATCAGTGTTGCGAGTTACGCAATTTAAAAGTAATGCATTACAGTAAATATGACCTTACAGCAGAGAATAATCATTTTCATTCTACTCTGTACGATACACTTTTCACATAAAATCTAGAAACAGAGTATTCACAACAAGCAAAGGCTTAGTTTGATACACTCATGTGAATGAATGAGTGTGGACTCATGGAAGTTGCCGTCATCATGACTTTCTTGCATGTTCATGGATGAGCTAATGCAGTGTTTCTTAACTGCTTGGGTCACAGCCTAAAAGTGGGTCACCAAACAGTTTTGGGTGTTCTTGTGATGTATGACCTTGAAAGACGTGTGAAATCTGTTGACACGGTCAGGCGTGGTTCATGTGCGTGAGGACAACATATTCTGCTAAAGGCTGTTTCTGGATGCAGCAGTGTAAACATCTAGTTCAGTTTAAATAGGAAAAATGTGAAAAGCAGCAAAATAAAAGCAGTTTCAATGGTGGCACAGAGCCAGCCCACACCCTCAAGCACATAAAGTCCTGCCACTTTCTCAACATGGTGCAAAAAATATTTAATCTAAGAAATACTTTGTGAAAAAAATTTCATAGCTTTGGGCTTTTAAATCAATTTTAAATAACTGGAAAAAAAAATATGAAACTGCTTAAACAAAAATATTCAGCTTTCAATATTATGCAAATAAAACTGTACAAAATGAATAGCCTCATTAATGGGAAAACAAACCGTTTATACACACAAAAAAAATTATATATATATACGTACATATATATATATATATATATATATATATATATATATATATATATATATATATATATATATATATATATATATATGTGTGTGTGTGTGTGTGTGTGTGTGTGTGTGTGTGTGTGTTATACAAACATTCTGCGAAAAGGTTGATTTATCTTCAATATCATTAAGGTTTCTTGAGCATGTAATATTACCATAGTCCAGTCAGTTAAATAGACTTTAGTATTTATTCAGTAATGAGATGGAAATCCATTTAAATGTAAGCACCCTGAGGAGCAGCAACTGATCATTACAAACCCATGGAAAATACTGTGGTAAAGTAAATGTTCATATTTTAAAGACATGGCCTTGCACAGTTTGATTTAATGGAGTCTGGTGTGAGACTTACGTTATATTGTGTGTAAATCAGGCAGTGACACAACGTATTGAGTTTATAATGACGTTGTGGTTAATTGCGGAAGCACCCAGGCAGCCTTAATGAAAATAAAAAGTCCTACAGTGTAGAGCCATAGACATCTCATAGAAATAATAAATGCTTTATATATGATGTATACACAAAGCTAATAATGCTAACTTTAGCACAATATCATTGAAAATGCATTGTCCCTGGCTGGTGTTGTTCATTGGTTAGGCATCAGCCAATAAAATGGCTTCACCCTAGTTTCACCCCCTGGCTGCCACTAACTGTGTGCTTATGGGAAGAGTGCGGGTGGGGTGAAAGTGTGTGTCTGTGTGTGAGAGAGAGAGAGAGCACTGATAACAATGATAGACTCTTGTTTGTGAACTCTAAATGTGACCACGGTAAAAGTGGTATTATATAATTTTACACTGTATTAAAATATATTTGTATAAATTAATACAGTTATATAATTATTAAATTAATACAATTATATAGATTAATTAACGGTATTAATATAAATTACAGAGCACTGTGCACCAGAACAGCCCAACACAGGTTTCCTCCCTCAGGCAATTAATCTCATAAACACTTGATGATAATAATTGTGGAACCAACATATCTACTTGCTATACACTTTTTATATACATATACACTTATTCAACAACATACTTTACATGCCAATTTGCAAATAACAGCTGCACATATAACATTGTATATAGTAATATCCCTGTACATACACTTGTCAATTTCTATATTTGCATTCATTACTTCTATTTTTTAATTTATTATCTGTTTTGTCCTGTCTCTGTAATTCTGTTGCACTGTAGAAGCTCTGTCATGAAAACAAATTCCTCGTATGCGTGAAGAAACCTTGAAATAAACCTCTTTCTGATTCTGATTAATACACCAACATACCGCCCAGCTCTAGTATCTGATCCACATTTTGCATTTAATCACGCATGCACACCTGCATTCCAGTTATGTAATCCCCTGTTTATATGCAATGTATGCATGTGTACAGATATGAATATTATCCTCTTCTCTTTTCATTCAGATTTTCACTTTTATAAGCACACATCTAAATTGTCTATAGATAGTACCATGTAACTACAGCCAAAGTCAAAATCATAAGCCTACTGTGATTTTTTTCTTTTTTAAATATTTCCCATATGATTTTTGGAGTTTTATTTGTTTTATTTCTGCTTTTTATTTTGGATTCTCTACAGAAGAAACAATTCTACAAACTGTTACACACTGATTTGCCTAATTACCCTAATTTGCCTAATTAAACTTGATAAGCATTTAAATATACAGGGGGGGGGCTAGTAATTCAAGAGGACCAATAATTTTTACTTCAACTGTATGAATTGACTTATTACTGCTTATAAAAAACATAAATGAATAAATGATTCAAAAAAATCTCTTCATCTGTTTGCCATTGCTCAAGGTTGCATGTACTTCAGGGTTCATACACATTTTTACTTCTAAAACTCTATAACGTCTCCATGATTTTTCCAAGACTTTCAGTTGAATTTTCACGACCTATATATATATATATATATATATATATATATATATATATATATATATATATATATATATATATATGTGTGTGTGCGTGTGTGTGTGTGTGTGTGTATTGAAAAATTGATTTAGATAATGCTTAAACCACAATAATAATGTGACTGTATGTGATAATCCAAGGACAGAAAAGAAATAATCAATATTCAAGTATACAGATATCTGTTTTCCATCACTTTTCCAAAACTTTGTGGGTTTTTTTGTTTTTCCAAAACTTTTCCATGCCTGAAAAATGCCATGTCAAAATTCCATGACTTTTCCAGGTATTCAATGACTATATGAATCCTGGTACTTGTTTTGAACTGAAGTGTCTTGTATTTTTGACCAGAAAAAGGAATCTGACCTTGCACCACCACTTGATTGCTGGGAACAAGTATCTGCTGGCCGTCACTGGTCTGTGCATACTGCAGGATGGTGGTGCCGGGCTGAGCTCCAGCGGCGTTTGTCATGGTTAGTGTCTGCAGTCCCTGCACTCCATCCGTCCCGTTATTGGCTAATTGGATCGCCCCACCCTGAGTGATAGCAACTGGAAGAAAACAATTTACATCTGGTTAACTTTCTATGTACCTGGCTGATTCAAACAGTGTCCAGCTGTTTCTTTCTCCTGTAACTAAAATAAAGTTTTTTAGATGTTAGTATCAGTTATGTTAGTTTTTAAGATATCTATAAGCAAGTATGCACCAAAATAGTGTAAAAAAATAAATAAAACTCCTATAAACTTAAAAAAAGTTTAGATATTGTCACTTCTGCCTAAATGGATCAAGTTTTATTCACATCCCCTCATAATTTCTCATTAAATTATGACCTTTCGAATACCCTTTAGTTTCTAATATTCCCTGTCCCCTTCAAGACACATTTGATGCGCTTGAGCTCAACCACTCACACTGGCAGAGCGTGATAAAAACTAAATGCTGTTGTTATTTTTTTTTAAAGGGGAGGGGCTACACTATGTGCCATTTTCTCTTCATTTCCCAGTTGAGACTACGTCAAACATTGAATAAAAATGCACATTTCAAAGCACTTCATAAGACCTTTAAGAGAGGAAAATAGTAGCAGGTAAATAACTTACTGTATTGCCCGCTACTTGTCTGATAGATGGGCGTTGGCACAGTAACGGTTGTTATGGCTGGAGTGGAGTCCTCCTCTGATTTCTCTTCTTCTATCCGTGGCACCGCTGGAGCATCAGATGAAAGATCATTCAGGATCTTTCTGCATTACAAAATATCAAAAGAAGCTTATGAACAGGGCTTTGTGAATAAAGCAAGATTGTAGGATTTATGTGGCTGTTGAAATCTAGACAATTAATATTCACTGCAGCATTTCCACATGATTTTATATGACTGCATGATGTAGACTCTGTAAGCTGATTTTATATATTTAAAATGTCAAACACTACGAGAGCAAAATATAAGTTCTCTGAGGCATTGGTGAACAAATAAAAAAAAGAAAGTGACAATTTTTTTTATATTGTGATTTCATTCATTAATTCATTTTCTTTTCGCCTTAGTCCCTTTATTCATCAGGGGTTGCCACAGCCAACTTATCCAGCACACGTTTCACGCAGCAGATGCTCTTCCGGCTGCAACCCATCACTGGAAAACACCCATACACTCTTATTCACACACATACACTACGGACAATTTAGCCTACCCAATTCACCTATAGCACAAGTCTTTGGACTGTGGGGGAAACTGGAGCACCCGGAGAAAACCCACATGAACACGGGGAGAACATGCAAACTTCACACAGAAATGCCATCTGATCCAGCCAAAGCTCGAACCAGCAACTTTCTTGCTGTGAGGTGACAGTGCCAACCAATGAGCCACCGCACCACCCTATTGTGATTTCATGTTCAAGTCATTTTGAACTTGGGTATGCATGGATCACCCATAGCTGTCAAAAATACTCTCTGTCTGAAACATTTGATGCTACACAAGTGTAAAAACCTTTAATAAATACTTTTATATAATTGCTATACATATTAAAATATATTTATACCACATGAATGACTGACAAACTTGAAAACATCTCTCTTTTTTTCAGAAAGTAAACGTTTATTTAAGTAAAATGAAGCAATCAGTTATACGTTTTAAATATTTAAATGAAATTAAATTTTTTTAATTGTGTGCTGTTAAAAAATTAGTTTTTAGATTATGTGCTTTTATACACTTTATGAAAGGTAAAACAAATCGAATGTTTCACTTTAAGTGTTGTTCATGTGTAAATTGTAAATTCAAAGAATGTCTTAATTAATTGGTAAAAACACAAACCAATTGAAAACATTTTTGAAATAACTACTATGATTCATTAAATAAATGATGAATGAATGTTACTGTAATATTTCCGCACTATTTAATAAATGTTAATTTTAAAAATATAAAACGGTTTCTTGCTATAGTAAGTTTATACAGACACGTTTGTCCTCATTTTTCATTTTAAACAGATTTTTGCAGAGAAAAAGATGCAGCTTTCGTTAAAACAGGATTATAAATGTGTCATCAAATTTAGAAACATGCAGATACCTGTATGAGGGCCGTCTAGACAGAATCTCTCTCCTTTTCTGAGAATCTGTCACACTGTCCACTGACTCCTGAGAATCATCACTCTCAGCAATAGTAGAAATCTGATACAAAAAGGCATAAATATTAACGCTTTTTACACCTGAATCAGTAAACACTTTGTCATCCTAAACTTTGAAGAGATATTTCATCTAAAAATGAAAATTCCATCTTTGCACTAAAATATTTCAATTTGTGTTCCAAAGATTAAAGACGGTCTAAGGAGTTAGGAACAAGATGAGGGTGATTAAAATAATAACAGAATTTGCCTTACTTGTACAGTTTGCACCTGTGGGGATTGTATGACAGAGGGCTGGGCTGCCTGGATGACCCCGTGAACTTGCACTGTTTGCCCATTGGGCAGCTGAACTAAGGTCACTGTGGGTGCAGTTGCTGATGCCTGTGCTGCCGCCATGGAAACCTGCATCAGGGAGGTACAATAAGGTTTAATTAAATAAAAACATCATCTCGCATCTACATGTACAATAACTGTAACCCTTGTAATCATAATCAGACTTGTCATGCTAGCAAACGTTTCCAAAAGCTTTGGAAGCATCTTAATGCCAGAAACTCACTTGTGCCAAGGTGGCAATCTGCTGAGTGTCTGTCTCTGAGACCGCAGTGTCGCCGCCCTGCTGGACATCTGCTCCTGCCTCCATGGTCATCTAGATAGCCTAAAGATGTAATTCAAGAGTCCTTCATTTGTATACTTTGAAAATTAATTATGCAATGAATATATACACAGGGTAGGTTATCAAACTGCCCAAAAAAGGGTATTGTTGTGCACCCACGATTATTTTAAAGGTTGACTGCAAAAAAAAAAAAAAAAAAAAAAAAAAACCTTTTACCCACAGACTGGGTTTGATATAAAGTCATTACGAACATTTAAAATATAAAACATACATTTATGCAGTGGTTTTTTTAAACATACTTAACGTTAAACATGTCAATTTAATGAAAACCCAAAAATAAAATTTAAATGTATTAAATTCTTAAAGGGGTGAAATGTTTCCACAAATGTATATTTCTTTACGTAAAAATGGCATTACTAAAGTGAAATATTTGCATTATAAGGTATTTTAACAAAAGCAGCCACCAAGCCTCAGCACAAAAATAAGAATATGCTTATTTAATAGTAAATATCATTAATATTAGTCTTTTATGGAGCTGTGACTATTTGTAACAAGTAATCGTGTTAAAAATGAGACCTTAATCATCGTGTGCCACAAACACAAGCTGACTCCATTTGCCGCCTTTTTTTTTACTTCCGTATGCAGCTGTCAGTCAGATCTGTGTTTTGGTTTTTAAGCATTTATGAACGTGGTAACTTAAAGGAAAATAAAATCGGCATACAGTGCAAGCTAAATCATTTTATTTTTCATGATTGTCCATCTAAGGCCATTTAAAAAAAAAAAAAAAAAACAGCACAATAAATACAAGCGCTTGCATTTTTAGGCGTGTTTCGACTTGTAAAATAGCACTCCAGGTTGAATGAATCAAGCATGCGGCACAAAAATCACTGTTTTATGGTGCACTCAGAATGGAAAAATACTCAAGAATCATTTTTTTCTCTATAATTTTATTTACCAGTTAAAACCCATAATTTATGATAAAGAACAGCTGTTTAATGTGGTACAAAACACCATTGCTCGGGCGGGAATGCAGTAAAGATCTTTAATGTAACACGGAGAGCTTTGACTGCTCAACAAACCAATGCTGGAGCCAAAAAAGAAAAAATCATTTCACGCGCTGGACTTTCATAAAAAGGTGCCATGGACGGGTGATCGCATTCATAACTACGCATCTCTCT